CGTGGTGGTGGCGGCAGACGTGACTACGGTGATCAAGGCAATCAGGGTGACTGGGGTGGCCAGCGTGGTGGTGGCGGCAGACGTGACTACGGCAATCAAGGCAATCAGGGTGACTGGGGTGGCCAACGTGGTGGTGGCGGCAGACGTGACTACGGTGATCGGCACGGCCGTGACGATGATGCTGGAGGATACGGGCGGGGTAGGTCTGCACCAGCAGGCTACTCGGCCCGTGTGGGCCGTACTCAAGATGGCCGTGGTGCCGAAGACGCGATGCCAGCAGGACCATTCGATGAACAGGCTGCCAAAGGCCTGTTTGAATTGAAGCGTCAGTACAAAAATGCAAAGACAGGGAAGGACCGACGCGATATTCAACGCGAGGCACGTCGCATTATTCGCCGGGCACGCATAGATCCGTCAACGCAAGACGAGAAAACGGTGACACTGCTTCTTAACTGTGCTGCCACATTCCGTAGCTATCCACATTCGGAGGGGATCAAACTGGCAACCCAGTGGATGCGCCAGAACATTGATGCCCTATCCCCACAAAATTTGGCGCTTTTTGCCAATGCCATCGGTGCACTCTCGGTGATAGATAGCGATACCATCTTGCTTCAGGAGGTATCTCCGGCAGTGCAGTCTGTCTTTACACAGATGAGTCCTGTAGAAATGGTAATGATTCTGCAGGCCTTCCAGCGTGAAAGGGTCACTGCTAACGCCTCCTTGCAGGAGTCTATGCTGCAACAGTTAGCGTCCTGTGTGCCGCAGATGCCTGCACCACAGTTGTCTACGTTGGCAGGTGTCCTGGTGACCGCTCCCCTCCGAAAAAGCGATGAGGCGGCCTGGCGAGAGCTGACAAACACCGTTTTTTCAAAGGCTGTGTCTGGTGCCGACAATATGCATTCCCGGGAAGTCATCACGTTACTGAAGGCTGCTCCGTGTTTGTGCGTCCCTGAGGAGCATAGTCTTCAACTTATTAAACGAGCTATAGCGACGGTGGGGTTTCATACGGAGGAGCAGGTCGGTGAGCTTCTAGAGGCTGTGGCGGGTTACCGCAGTCAAGAGAAGGCACCAGATGAGGAGTTGCAGAGACAACTTGATGAATTGGTCAGTATTCTTTGGAAGCGACTTGAGAAGGTGGCACCGTATGCTGATGTGACAAGTGCGACATGGATCATGCGCCAGGCACGACTGTGTGGCGTGGAAATTCCCCCTGCCATCGCAACAGCCTTGTTGGAGGCAGTGTCAAGGGAGTTCCGCTACCACCGCCACACCTTCCGCCGATGCGCGGCTCTGGCGGATGCCCTGGCGGAGCAGAAGGTGCCAGCCAAGGCGCTGCTGCAGATGGTTGGGGACTACTGTGTTGGCAAGCGTCCCCCACGCGAGGATAGAGACGGCGCCGATCCAGAAGAAGAAGACGACACACCGAGGGAGGTCCGCATGGACATCTACGCACGTTTCCTCGGCGACCTGACGAGGGCGCGTATTGCACTGGAGAAGGCCCACAGCGCAAACCCTGAAAATGGGGAGCCGGGTGAAAGCCTGGCTGTTGTCCTCCCACAACGACTGGAGGAAAGTGTTCTCGCTGCTTCGCCACGGGAGGTGTTGAAGTGTGCCCGATCGATCTGCGTCTCGCCTACGAGTTGCCGCTTACACAACCATGCGAATGATGAAAAGCTTATGTCATTGGTGGAGCAACGCGTCACCAGGGAGCGCGAAAATTTCCTGATGGAGGTGCCAAAAGAAACTTTAGAGAGATTCATTACTGCTCTGAGCGACGCGCCTCGCGCGCAAAAAATCGTTGAAACTCTCTCCCGGTGAAAAATTCGTCCAGAAAGGGTGTAAGGACACAACCATTCACACACACACATATGCACAATTTCACACAATTAACAAACAATCGGAAATACGCGAGAGGCACCCTCTTTGCGCTCCTCGTATGAGCTCATCATCGCTTGAAGACGAGAAAAAGGCTCGGATGGGGTGGGCGGGGAGGGACAGTTGTACGGACCGTACAACGATGCTTCACATAGGGATCAAGGAATTGATATATACCGCTTTTCTTTGCCTTCATTTAAAATTTGCGTCTGACTTCTTTGTGTGCCACCAATTGTACTGTCTCACGCGGAATACTGTATCGCTTCAATCTTTATTCAAACTTTCTATGCATCTTTATACAGCACAGGCGAAGAGTTCCATAGACATCAAGAGAAATAGAAGCACAGTTTTGTATGATAATCGATGTCGGGTTTGTGGAGTTTCAGTGACGTTGCTGTTCCACATTACCAATGCATGAGCGGCAACGTGAGAAAGTCGCTGCCTACAGCCGCCGATGATTCATTTCACAGTGCGCCCGAGGAGATCGGTGCTGCGTCATTGACAGACCCAATGACGGCATTCAGTCTGACGGCTGATGTGGATGGAGCCATCCAGGATGCACAAAATGAATGGCTTGAACGCACAGTGGGCGCTGTGTTGACGTCCCCGTATCACTTGCGGCTGCACCAACACGAGGCGTTAAATGTGGCGAGCGCACACCGCGAAGATTGCGTGAGCCGAGGAGACGGATGTGGGCTCTTGGACGCGGAGGACATGGCGGTCGTGAGGAGCTTGTTGAAATTGAAGGTTGCCGATGATACGAACAAAGGCCACACTCGTACGCATCATCATCATCATCATCATCATCATCATCAACAGCAGCAGCAGGAGCAGCGGCAACAACAACAACAGCGGCGGCGCTGCCGTCCAGCCGCACCTGCNGCGGTCGTGAGGAGCTTGTTGAAATTGAAGGTTGCCGATGATACGAACAAAGGCCACACTCGTACGCATCATCATCATCATCATCATCAACAGCAGCAGCAGGAGCAGCGGCAACAACAACAACAGCGGCGGCGCTGCCGTCCAGCCGCACCTGCACCGCTAGTGCTGCACACGGCAGAAATAGCCTCCCGCCGAGGAAAGTCGCGAAACTTTGACATGATAACTGACGGTGGCTCGGACGCAATGAGCGTAGAGGCTCAGAGCAACGTGCCCAACGGTCGGGGAGCACAAGAGATCGCCCAACCACGGCACATAGGTTTGAACGCTAAACACGCCCCTGAGAAGGTGAGACTTGCTCCGCCACCAGTGCGGTGCGGCTTTGTAGAGCGCATGGAAAGGCGAGCAGCACAGCGACGGGCAGCGCGCTCCGCACTGGGAGCTGCTCGAGTGTTGGACAGCTCCGCTAGCGCTTTGCCCACTGCACAGGGTGTGCCATCTCCAACTGGAGTGCAGACGGCGTTGGTTTCGCTGGGCGATGCCTTGCCGCTGGAAGTACTGGACGCCTTTGTTTCGATGGAGATAGATCTGGCCGATGACAGCTTTGCCGACCGTGGCTACGAGTTGGACCGTATTGCACGCCAGTGGCACTCTGTTCAGCTGAAGAGAGTAGTGTGGAGACGATGGCGTCGGTTTAAGTGCAGTCAAGCAGGCAAGGGTGTTTGCAACACCGATCCTGTCGTGGTGAGCATCACGGATGACCGTGCCGTAACGGAAGTGCTTCAGGATGTGCGACAGATGCGTCTCCTTAGGTGGTACTTTGTCTTGTGGGTTGCGTTTGTAGAGGCGACGCGTAATGGGTGTATAGCTGTGAGCTGATTACCTCATCCCAGAATGTTGTGTGCTGAGAAAGTTGGGCATTGTGGGGGACCTGCGTTCTGTGCCTTGTTGTTGTTGTTTTTTGGCCACGCCTTCCTTTTGCCTCTTCTGTCGATTCTAAGGAGCATCACAAGGAAGCCGACAGTGCAAGGCAAACAGAGAGCAAAGTAAAATAGTAAGTTGTAGAGTTTGTGCGTTGCGCGAACGGCGAGTTGACTCAGAAGAAGCAGCAACAGCGGCAGTAGAAACATCGTCATCGAATTCAAAAAAAAAAACAGAAAATACGGAAAGAAAATATACAGTGGGATTGGGAAAAAGAAATGGCACCAGACTATGCAGGCTACCTACAGAAGGCGGGTGGAAGGTTCTACACGAAAAACTATACCCGCTACTTCGAACTCCATGGTTCCATGTTGTATTACTGGAGGGATAGACCCTCGAACCCGAACGAGGAGCCTATTGGGAGCCTCGACCTCACGAATATCCGGTCCATCGAGGACGAGAGAAGGCCAATGTCATGGACAATTGAGGGTGATAAACTTCCCAAGGCCTACACCTTCACTGCTGACACTGCTGAGCAGAAAGAGACATGGATAAAAAAGATGATGAATTTGGATCCGTCCCACACTGCACAGCTCGGGACGGCAGAGCACAGCAGCGAAGAAGAAGAAGAGGTCGTCACTGTCTACACTGGGGAGCGGCGCAAAGTGTCGCTGGACGACTTCGAGCTCAAGGCAACAATTGGGAGGGGTTCATTCAGTCAAGTCTTTTTGGCACGTGAAAAGAGCACAGATGAGGTCTATGCTATAAAGGAGATGAAGAAGGAAGTCATCGAGCGAGAGAACATGGTGGAGCACATTTTTGCCGAGAAGTTCATTCTTCAGAAGATCAGCCACCCTTTCATCGTATCGCTTCACTACGCTTTCCAGACGAGGAACTGTCTCTACCTTGTGCTGGACTTCCTCTCAGGTGGCGAACTGTTCTACCACCTTGGCTCCGTCAGGGTGTTTGACGAGTACCGGGCCAAGTTCTACTGTGGGGAGCTTGCCCTCGCGGTCGCGTACTTACACAGCCACGACATCATCTATCGCGACCTCAAGCCGGAGAACGCCGTGCTGGACAAGGATGGCCATGTGTGCCTCACGGACTTTGGACTGGCGAAAATGGACATCAGCGATGCTAGTAACTTCACCTTCTGTGGCACGCCGGAATACATAGCGCCCGAGTTCCTTCTTGGCATGCCGTACGGAAAGGCAGTGGACTGGTGGTCACTGGGCATTCTGCTGTACGAGATGCTGGAAGGTATTCCGCCTTTCTACTGCGATAATGTTAACGCCATGTACGACCAGATCCTAAGCGCGGAGTTGAAGTTCGGCAATGGAGGCGGCGGTGATGATGATATGCCAGCGATATCAGAGGAGGCTCAGGACCTTCTTCGTCGACTCCTAGACCGTGATCCCGAAAAGCGTCTGCAGGATTTGGAAGAGTTCAAGAAACACCCATTCTTTCACGACATTGACTGGGATAAACTGTATCGGCGAGAGATTGAGCCACCGTTCCGGCCTAACAGCAACGCGCTACGCAATTTCGACCAGGAGTTCACGTCACTGGAACCACGTGTGACTCATCAGGATGAAGACGGCGGAGAGCACACCAATGTTGCCGGTTTCACCTTTGACGGGAATGTGGGATCAGCGTAGTGCCCTATCACATCGTGCTGTTATCATCATCATCATCTCCATCATCTCCATCCTATTCCATTCTATTCATTTTCATAGCATCGCCTGTGTTTCTCTTTTTTTGTTTCTCGCGTGCGTGCATGCGCACTCACTTGCATATATATATATATATATATATATGGATTGCCCGCTGATTTGGGAGTGGATCAAGCGAAAATGATTCTTCGCTCGAAGACGATCAGGAAAGCGGTTACAACTGAAAGAGAGAAGAGAGGTGATGGTGGCGGCGGTAGTGGTGGTGGTGCGAAGGGAAGTGGCCGGCTTCACAGCATTGCGTGTTTGTGTGTATGTATATGCCTGTGTGTGTGGGCGCACTCCTGTTCCCTGAATTCGCGTGACGGGCCTGAGGAGAGAAGAAGAAGAAGAAGAAAAAAAGGACGAAAAAGAAGCGAGGGGTTGAGGTGAAATGGGGTTGGGGAGGCGTCGTGTTTATGTAGACGCCGTAGTCTCGTTCGTCTGCTGTTAGCTGTTCTTTTCGTTTTGATTGTTTTTGCTTGTGTTGTTTGTTTTGTTTGTTTCACGTTTTCCCGATGTTTGGATCCTTGAACGAGAGGAGAAATAAACAACAAAGAGGAGGCGCCCCCCCGGAAGAGAAGAAAGAAGGAAAAAGAAAAGAAAAGAAAAGAGCAAATGAAAACAAGCAGATGAAGCGGAGGAGAGTGGCGAGAGAGAGAGAGAGAGAGAGAGAGAGAGAGAGAGAGAGA